CAATCAGAAGGTACCTTGGCAAAGAAACATCTTTACGGCATACAAAAAGATTATCCCACAACACTCCAAACCTCCCTTTGCCTGTCAAATACAAACTATGTGAGCTGACTCCTGTTTATTTCCTTGCTCCATCAGCAGGTCAAACCCGAGAGTCTGGACTTCTTTAAGTAGTGCTAGAGCCTTCTCTGCTGCTTGCTGTGTTACCAAGCCAAAGCAAGACTCCTACACCATCTTCAACATATACTTCTAGGCTTCTTTGACAAGGAACTCTTAGTGACCATGACTAGTTCCTGTAGTATTCTCATCCTCTGGACAGACAAGCCAAATGAGATACCAGATGGCCCAAAGTTTGTAAGCAGGAAACAGTCTTGTGTTTCCTCTACCCTCTGAGAATCCAGCACCATCCTGCCACCATCTTCCTAAAGCTATTCACTTTGTAGTCATCAATTTAAATTTTTTTATGTCCCCTTTCCAATTCTCCTCACAATACCCTTTGCTTTTGCATGGAAATGTCAGCATATATGTGGAGAATTCTACTTCAGAACTCTACTGAAGTCTGTATTTATTCTCTAGGACCCCAGATGTGCAAGATGACCTGAGTGAGGAGAATCTTACCCAAAAAGTTCACAGTACTGAGACTGAATAGCTCTCATCTAGATGACAATGCTGAGCCAGGTCATTCTCTAGTTTAGAAGTAAATGAACACGTGTTCCATTTTGCTACTAGGGACTGACTCTTATAGCAGTGCTCTGCTATAATGCAATGCAATGAGGAAATGAAGACAGAATAGTTAATTGGTATGGTTTCTAGGTAAGGACTGGTCTTGTTGTTTGTGGGAATATAAATTAGTTCAACAACTATGGAAATTAGCATAAATCTAAAAAAAATGAAAAGTAGAACTACCAAATGATTTAGCTACACCACTCCTGGATATGACCTAGAGGAATCTCAATCATTACACAAAGACTCTTGTACAACAATAACAGCCAAATTATAGACTTAGCCTGGTGTCTATCAATGGACAAAAGAAATGCAAAATATGTATACACAGATTTTAATTCACTCATAAAGAATGAAATTGTATTGTCTGTAGGAAAACAGGTATGCTGGGAGATCATCGGGTTAAATGAAATCCACTAGACTCAGAAAGTCATATGCTGAATGCTTCCCCTTGTATGAAGAACATACATGTAAAATGGAAGATACTAAAGAAGATGGTGACTGTATTAGTGACATTTATATCACAGCAACAAAACTTGTGACAGAAATAACTTTAGTAGAGGAAGACTTGTTTTGACTCATGGATTCTTAAGTGTCACTCCATCATCACAGGGAAGGCACAGAGTGACTCAGGCTACAGTGGTGAAAGTAACTAGCAGGGACATTCATATAGAGGTGGGCTTGGAAGCAGAGGGAATATGACCAGAGCCACAGGCACATATAACCCTCAAGAGTCTACTGCTAGGGATCTACTTCTGGACCCCACTACTTGTGGGTTCCACAGCCTCCCAACATAGCAGGGACTACTTGAGTAGAGAAAGGGGGGGCAATGGGGTGGAGGATGGGAGATAAGAGAGCTTAATGGGGTTGTAAATATGGTCTAAGTATACTAGAAATGTGTGATAATCTCATAATAAAATCCATTGTTTTGTACAAGCAGTATACAATAATTTAAAAGTCGTTAAAATTTGGTCTTGTCACACTTGAAGGGTGACTCTGGGGAGAAAGGCAGTGCTGTTGAGACAGACCAAGAGAGCACACTGTGAGCATGGTGGCCCGGGTCTTGGCTCTGGCTTCCATGGAGCCTTTCACTGGCTCAAACAGAATTTAGTTCTAGAAGAGGCCTACTCTTGAATCAGTTTGGAAAATTACCAAATTATAAGAAATAGGAAGAAGAAACCACTCCAGCCCCCGCCACCTCCACGACTTGCCGTGGGCATGTCCACCCCTAGCATGTGCTTGCTGTGTGACCCACTTCCTCTCCTCTGCATGGGCTGGAAAGCCAGTTGCTGGGAAAGAAGGAGGTCTGTCAGGCAGCGAGGCCAGCCAGGGGTGAGGCTCTGGGTGTGTGAGGTTGGGCTGGCAAAGGGAGTTCTTTGGCATTTGTTTTAAAAATGAGAGCTGAGGATGAGCAGTGACTCAGCTGGCATCCCATACCCACAGGCTCCTCTTTTGCACACCCCAACCGACTGTGGATTGAAAGTAATCAGGAAAAAGAAACTGCCTGTGTACTAAACATAGAGTTTTTCCTTCACCATCTTTCATCACGCAGTAGAGAGGTGATTTGAAGCAAATAAGAAGGCGTGCCGTGCTAGATTGTAGGAGGATACAACACAAGCTTGCGCAGTTCATTTGGGTATTGCCTGTGGGGTCAGATGTGAGCACTGGATTCCCTGGAACTGGAGTTATAGCTGTCTTGTGGGTGTTGGGAATCTAAGCAGAGTCCTCTTGAAGAGCAGGCAATGCTCTTAACTACTGAGCCGTCCCTGCTGCTCCAATCACTGAAGTTCTAATCAATTGGTTTTTGTAGAATACTCAGGATAGATATGGTTTCTTTCTGGGAACTTTGGTTCATAGTGGTAATAACACACCTTTTTCTCTATTTGTCTTTATGTCTTTTATACTATTTTTTTTGTTTGAGATAAGGTCTGCTCCCTGTATAGCTCAGGCTGGTCTTGAACTTGTACCCCTTCCTCCCAAGTGCTGGGATTATAGCTGTCTATCACATGTCCAGCTGTTCTGTGTGTTTGACAAGGGTGGATAGGTGGTGCTGGGAGCCATGTAGGTGGCTTTAATAACACTTTGGAGTTCAACTGCTAAAGAAGACTAAAGGGGTTGAGTTGGAATTAGGCTCCACAGTCAGATTCCACATAGAATGCCAATCTAGTGTTTTGAACAACAACCTCATCAAGATATTTCCCCACCTAAAGAGGCTATGTTTCCAGCACTGCCTCTTCAGGTAACCATTTACCTTCTAGGAACCTCTTATAACCTGAAAAAAAAGGAAGGAAGGAGGGAGGGAGAGAAGGAGAGAGGGAGAGAGAGAGAGAGAGAGAGAGAGAGAGAGAGAGAGAGAGAGAGAGAGAGAGAGAGAGAGAGAGAGAGAGAGAGAGAGAGAGAGAGATCACTCCTATCATACTAGGATAAAGTTAACCCTGGAGTCTCAGTACTTCTCTGTGTCAATTCTTCATGGATTCTACTTAGAGTCACTTTGATGACGTAAACTGAAGACGGACCTGGCAACGTGACTCCAGAAGCCATTGATGTTGCTATAAGTCTGTACCAAGTAAATCCATGCAGATAGTTCCATCAGCCTGCAAATTTGCCTTTCCTAGACTTGATAAGCACCCACCTGCGCCAGCATTGCTTTAACACAATGCATAGTACAAAGGCCTCTCTGGGAGTACTTCTCAGAGTGATTTTACAGACTCAAAGCCACCCCTTCAAAGATCGTAGGAGCAGTCTGGTTACAACCCTACATGTGACCTAAGATGGTCACTAGTGTCACAGCTGAGGAATAGTTATAGGCAACAAACACATCTGGAAAATGTTAACACGCCAATTTGATAACACTGCTATCAACGTTCTTAAGTGGCTGCAATTCTCAGAACCAGGGAAGTGCAAGGCTACAAGTGCCTGATGGAAGGTACCCAGCCTGGCCCTGAGACAGAAGCAGGTGTGATTTGCTCACGATCGAGCAGTTACTGCTGACCTGGGGATTAGGTGTCCTCCCTTCTTGCCCAGTGCCCTTGCCCCCCACATTGTTCATCCTAAATTATTGCAGGTCCTCTGGCTGTGGGGCCTTTTCATTGGTTCATGTTCATAGGACATTGTCGTGAGGATAAGATTACACTTTTATTTTCCCTCATTTACTTCCCACTCCTCCCTGACCCACAAAGCTCCAGCACTGTCAGTCACAGCCATGAAACTCTGGTTGAAACCAGTCAGAAAGGCTTCCTGCCAAGTGACTTTTGGCCAGGCAGCGTGATGGGCTGAGTACAAAGGAGAGCTTTCCTGGTTTTCTCCTGTATGTCCCACATTAGCCTTGAGCTAATTTGATCCAGCTCAAAAACGTGCGCCAGTTATTCCCCAAATGCTTCGAAGGACCAAACGTCAGGTCTGGGAAAGGCAATAGAGAGAATTCAGGCCAAAGTTCTCTAACAATGCTCCAAAGAGCTCTAGAAGCTTCCTCAGGAGGGAGTTCCCTTCCATTCAGCGCCTAAGCCTAGGTGACTGGGAGTCTGAGCAGAGCCGGTTCTAGGCTTTGCACAGTTCTTTTCTCTAACTGGATCTCCATGTCAGAGCACTTGTGAGTGCTGAGTTTGAGGACAGACAATTAGTGACAGCTGCAATTGTGACCTAGAGCTTCCATTTCAAGGGTGTGCAAGCAGTGGTTTATTCAGGCTTGGGAGAGGGGGAGACAGTGATCACCCTGTCCAGCGACAGGGTACACCTTGCTAGTGACATGATGGGGCTGGAAGCCAGCTGGGGTACTGCCCCCCACTACTTTGCAGGGATGGCCTGGTCCCACTGAGAACATGTGTTTTGGGCCCCATTGAGACCGCAGCTTCAGAAAACACACTACACTATGGAGGCTGCTTAGCTGGCAAAGGAAAGGGACAAAATCAACACCTACAGAGTGGCTAGTATACCATGTCCACAGAAAATATCTGCACTCACTCAGGGCAGATTCTTCAGTTTGAAGAGTTTCATATGCTTTTTTTTTTTTTGAAAGTGGAAAGTAACACTTTTTAAAAAATAATTTATTTTTATTTTATGTATGTGCATTTGTGTTTTAGCTGCATGTATGTCTTTGTGAGGGTGTCAGAAACCCTGGAACTGGAGTTATAGACAGGCACGAGCTGCCATGTGGCTACTAGGAATTGAACCTGGGTCTTTTGGAAGCACAGCCAGTGCTCCTAACCTCTGAGCTATCTCTCCTGCCCAGTTTGAAATGCTTCATATGAAGAGGAATTTTGTTTGTTTCTTTCTTTCCTCAGAAGCCTGAAGAAGTTCTACCAAGTTTCAAAGATGAGAAGTGACCAACAGGGCAGCATAACTCTAAGAATCAGGGCCACCTCCGTTCGGACACCCTTTAACTCTGCATCTGCTACGTGTGACATTATTTTGCATCGTAATAGGAGTCTAATTTTTCTTGAAGGCCCAGGAAGTCAGGAGCTGCACACTATGCAAGGAGTTGAAACTCAGTTCAAACAAAAACAGAACCCAGGATTCTCCGTTTGGAAAATGGCTGGGCCCCCTCTGTGCCTGTTCTCCTGGGGATATAGTCTTTGTAAAGTATAGTTCCCGTCGCTTCCTTTTCAGGGTGTTGTGGTTCATGGCTTGCAATGTTAGCCCTGTCTTCTGCTTGAAGTGGAAAATACTATTCATCTCGTTGCTCAGCTGCTGGGTGGATCCTGGAGCAGCTGTCCCTCGGGGACATGGGTGAGGCAGAGTGCTATGCCTGTGAATGCCAGTGATGGGGAGATAACAAATGTGCCACAGAGAGAGAAACCATCACAAACATCAGGATACCAACCTTCATCGGTATAAGACATTTTCAATTGCCTTTATCTTTTGAGGACCCTTGCATCTCTCGAGAGTAACAGCGGCTCTGAAGCAATTTCTGGTCTTTTTAATCACATGCTGGGAATTTTCATAAGAACTGCTCAGCTTCTAGTTAACCTAAATCTTCTTCCTAAAAAGGGGGGGGCACTTTGAACAAACTGGGCCGATATACATGCTATAAAGCCTGAACCTATGGATGAGACCACTAGGTTAAACATGGGATTAGTGACAACTCTTGCCAGGACCCCAGACATGTCATTTAGGGTGTGTTCTAGTTGTGGATCCCGTAGAGGGAAGTATGGTACCTGCTGTTCTTTTGGATATTTGTGGATATTTATATTTCAGCCTTACGTGGGACCTGTATCTGTATCTCTTGCTCTTAGATACATCCCTAAAAGTTAGTGGTAATGAAGTTGGTTGGTAACTTGATTGTGTAAGCTGCATATTAAAGTTTATTCTCAAGACTTTTTCAGCTTTAGTGAGCTGTAAGATAAACATAGTAACTGTCATTCAATGTCAAAATAAACTCAAACTCTTTTTGAGAACATTTGAATCTAAATAGTAAAGTGAAGAAGTTGCTTCAACAGGCACAAAAGTTGGGTTTTTTTGTTTTTTGTTTTAAAGGCACAGAAGTGATAAATTAAAGCCACATCATCATTTGGCATTTTCCTCCTTGACTTCAAGTTATTACTCAAGTTATTTAATCTACTTTAAAGTGGTAATTCTCTATATTTCATTTTGAATTTTCATTTATTTTTAGAGAGAAGGTCTCACTGTGTAGTACAGGTTCCCTGGGGTTTGCTACGGAGAGACCAGGCTGTTTCTGAATTTCTAGTGTACTGTGGTCTCTGACTCCTGGGTGCTGAGACTGTAGGTGTGTATCGCCATGTCCACTCTCTATATTACTTTTATTATTCGTTTTTATATCACTTTTGAAGAAGAGGAAAACACCTTCTTTTTCTCAAGCATCTACATTTAAACAGTATTTAAATTCTTTTTCTTTTTTTAATTTTATGGCACCTTAGTAAAAATGAAGCAAAGACTCACTGGGGGGATCAGGGTCTTCTCCCGTCTGGACTCTAGGACACTGTGCCCTGGGGCAGGGTCCTGAGGGTTTCTCTTTCTCACTTGCCATGTACCATGAGAGGAGCAGAGGGAAAGCCACAGTCGCACTTTGATGGGCCCTGCATCCTCACTCACTGCCTACCCTGCAGTGCTCCTGTGTGTATTCTCATGGTGGAGGAGCATCCTGGTGCAGACAAAGCAGACTGTCTACCCTGAGGGATAGATGTTAGTTGGGAGTGTTGCCATTCATGGACCACTCCTGATAGTCTTCCCTTCTCTGTCGTTGGAGTAAACTCAAGCATCGGCCAAAACAAATGATCCAGGGAGGAACCATGCTTTCATGGTGTGCTACACACCCGGGGAGGGTTTTCTCTGTTTGTTTTAGAAGAGATTGAATCTCTGTCCTTTGGTGATGTGATCTGTGCTCCCTCTGTCTTTGATTTCTTTCTCTCTGGGAGAGCCATTTTAGATCACAGGATGGGGACTGTTGAAAAGAACATGCCAGAACATCGGGGCGGGGGTGGGGGGGCGGAGAGGAGGGGGATAGGCCTGCAACTCCAGGGACAGCATTCTTCATGCTCTCTTAAGAGCTTAGAGGTTTGGAACTGGTGGCAACTGGTAGTTTTCAGTGTTTGGTAAACAGCCAGAATCCGGAGCCTTGGGAACAGCCTTGCTCAGCTCTTTGTTTAAGTTTTGGACTAGAGGCTCTGAGAAGTTGGTACAGGGGAGAGAAATTAACAACCACTACTCATTCACAGCTGGGCAGCCAAGTGGACAGCCCCAAAAGACCCACGTGGAGAGCAGAGAGAGAGGCCCCCGACCTGTCTTGGGCCAACAGCTTTTAGAGGAGGGCACTCCCTCACTCCACCCCCCATTGCTCTGCATCTGCCTGGCCTCTGGCCAAAGATCCGTGCACACTGCAGTGTTGGTATGCTTTGGGTGAGGCTCGTGGCCATGGCAACAGGATGGGAGAGACCCAGTTCCTGGGAGTAAGAACTGTGGCCAAGATACAGATTGGGCAGACAAGGGGTAGGGAGGGGAGGTCAAGGTTGGCTTTGCCTGAAGAATGGAGCCCTTTATTGTTATGGACCGAGCTACTTCAGTCCGGGACTACTAGTGGCCCATCTCAAGCTCCTCCTTTCTCCAAGTAGGTATGACTAGAACCAAGATATTGTTAAACTTTGGTGAATGTGATCAACCTACTGACCTGATGATTTCAGAGAGAATTAACCACTGATTTACTGGCAGTAGGCAATCACATTTAAATATCCGTGTACCTAATTCTTATTCAAAGCATTTCTTCACTTTGAAAAAGAGATGTTCTATGCATGTGTGGCCTGTGATTTAAGCCCTGGGCTAACATTTGAGGAGCTGAGTTCTAATCCTAGCACTGACTCATCCTCTCTCCATGCTCTGCACACCAGTTTCCTCTTCTTGAAATGAAGGTGTTTGGTGTTGAGGTGAAATCAGAGGTCCAGCTCCAGTTCTGACCTTCTGCCTCTATAGACCATGAAATAAAGGACCAGGAGACATGTCTGTTACAGAGTTTTTTGTTTCTTACTTGTATTTCTTTGAAACTACCAGGTCCAGCTAAGATAAGTCAATAGATTTCCTTTTCAACTTTTCCATTCTTTACTTCTTTTCAAGCAGTTTTAAGCTCCTACACAACTGAAAAGGGAATGCACAGAGATTTCCCACATAGCCCTCATGTACACCCTCCCTCCTTATCACCATCCTAACAGAGAGGTCAATTTGTTTCAACTGATAAACACGTTGACAGACTGTGATCATGCAAAGGCCATAGTTTACAGCAGGGCTCTATCCTGGTGGTGTTGATTCTATGGGTCTGCAAAGAATGAATTAAGATATGTATCCACCAGGGCTTAGTGGGTAACAGTGCTTGCAGCATAAGCGTGAGGCTCTGAGTTCAAATCCCCAGAACCAGCATAAAAATCTGGGTGTGGCCATATGCATGCCTAGAGCCCTGGTGTGGTGCGGAAGGGAAGATAGGAATGCTGGGTTTTGCTGGCCGTCAGCCTAACTCCAGGTGCAGTGAGAGGACCTGGCTCAAACAAATAAGGCAGAGAACAATGAAGAGATGGATACCCAACATCATCCCCTGGTCCACACACACACACACACACACACACACACACACACACACACACACACACACACACGCATGCACGCACGCACAAACGAACACACACTGTAAAATAATTAAAAGAAAAAACAGATATGCATCAACCACCATTAAATTCCTGCCTGTTTCTCCCTCCCTCTCCTTAAGCTTCTGGCAATCAGAGGCCTTTCCTGTCTCCATGGTTTTGCCTTTTCCAGAACATCATGTGGTTAGAATTGTAGTATGTGGCCTTTGCAGGCTGGCTTCAGATAACTTTCTATTTTGTTGTTATTTTTTGCTTTTTTTGACACAGGGCCTCACTGATCTGGAGCTCACTATGGAGCCCAGGCTGCCTTTGAACTCAGCAATCCTGCTGCCTCAGCCTCCCAAGTGCTGGGATATAAGCATGACCCAATATGCCCAGCCAACACACTTTCTTCCCTTCCCCCCTTCTTGCCCCTCCTTTACTTCTCTTCTGACTCTTGAAAGTGTCACCTGGCATCACATCTCTCTGGTGGCCTTGTTTTGGTGGCAATTGTAGCAACTTACTCTTCTGCTTTCTTATCTGCTTATCCCCAAATGTCCCAGGACTCCTTAAGGTTTGATTTTTTTTTCTCCCACAACTGGCCACTTACAGAAGTCTAAGCTCCCAGGCCCATGTCTTCTCCCTCAGTGATTTTCACCACAGCCCCAGTAGTTAATTGCCATTTAAAATTGTCATCTCATCCCCAACTGTGCAAAAGAATCAGGCAGGAAATTTAAAAAGAAACAGCAAAATCAAGAAAATGATCCACACCTGGAAATTCTGATTCAAGGGTCAGAATTGGTTCTTTTTGGTTCCCTAGATAATCTAATGTGGAGTTGTCGCTTGCCTCCCGCTACCACACCCTGGGGGTGCGGGTAAGATGGCACAGAGTCAACATCACAGCCTCTGGGTGTCAGGCAAGTGGCAAAGCAGACTTGTTTTTGCTGGTGTTAGGCAGACTTTTATACTCCCTCCCAGGACCCAGGGGAGGCAGCGATATCTGGAACGCTGTGTTGTCTCTCCTTCATTGGCTCAGGCCATCTGATGTCATGGCATCCTCCATGCTCTGCAGCAGGCTCCTGATTGGCTCAAGGGGAAGTTGCAAATACTCAGGCTCTGCTGGCCTCCAGCCAGCTATTAGCCTCCTCCTACACGGGAAGCCACTGTTAAAGTGTCCTGTTACAGGTTGTAGGATGTCCTTACCCTGTGACAGTGGAGGTTATGTTCTTGTGTGCTGATGCGGTTGCCCTGTTGAGGCTTGGCCCTAGCTATGAGATCACTCCCTAAAGTAAGAGAGGACTTGAACATGGCCCTGTGAGCCCCAATTCCCAGCATTTAGGATTTTGTGTAATTTCCTCCTTTTAAGCCTGGGCTGCACCTAATGACTCACATCTAACCAGGGGCATATGTCAGAACTGACGGGAAGTTACTTTCAAGATTTTGTGTCTTGTGCCTCTTGCTTGGCTTCGGGGACCCTTCCCTCGCTCTGGCTAACAGTTATGAACAGCTCTGTGGTAGGGAAGTGAGGTAGCGATGTCCTGAAGCCTGCTGGCTCCTGGATAAGTGAGCTGGGATTCACATGACCTGCCCTGGTCCAGCCCTGCCATGACTACAGCCCCAGCCTATGCAGGATGCATCCCCTGTCAGAGTTCTCCAGCTAAACTACACCCAGCTTCCTGACCCACAGAAGCCACGAGATGATAAATCTTTCTTATTGCAAAGCACTCAGTTTTGGGGGTTTGTTATGGTCTGTCTGGAATGTTCTCCACAGGCTCGTATGTTTGAAGACTTGGTTTCCAGCTGTTTGGAAGCTGTAGAGCTTTTGAACAATAAGACCCAGTTGATGGATAGGGCCAGGAGGGGCAGGCCTTGACAACCCAGTCCAGACTTAGGCCTGGCCATCTTTGTGTCCCATCCAAGATGTGATGATTGGCCACAGGCTCCTGCTGCCATGCCTTCCTTGTCGAGCTGGACTGACCTCTGAAGTTGAATCAAAATCAGCCTCTCCTCCTCTAAGGTGTCTCTGTTCCATGTTTTATCCCAGCCACCAGAAAAGTAAAATTACAGCAAAAGTAACTAATGTACTCTCCAGGCTGGGGGTCGGGGGTTGGGGGTGCGGGGTGGGAGGAGGTGGGGGGATGGGGGTGGGGGAGGATGACACAGGACTAACTTTTAAAAAGGAGCACCTTCCTCCTGGAAAGAGACTGACAAAATGCTGAGTTTGAGCTGTGGAAGGTCTGAGATAATGTTTCTGTGAGCGGCTGCTAGAGACACAACACAGTGCCCAAGTTGCTGGGGGCAACAAAAGAGCAGGTGACCAATAAGCAGCATCTTGTCGCCTAGGCCATTGCTTCTCCAACGTGGATTTGTATGTAGAGGTCTGGGGCTGGGACTGGGGGCATGGCGGGACCTCTGTCAGGATACTCATAATTTCAAACAGAGGCCTCT